GCCCCACCTGTGGGATTTGGAGATTAACTATTTATGGAAGAAGAAAGCCTTGTCTTTCTCCCAGAGAGTGGCTGATGGTTTCAAACTGTTGACCTTGCAGATCGCAGCCCAATACATCACCATTACACCACCAAGGCTCCTCATAAAGAGACATAAGTAGACATATATTTGGGGAAAGGGTTATTTTGAAAAAGAAATAGTCCACACGAGAATCATTGTAGACTAAGGCTGGGAAGTAGATGTGTGGAAGACAGTAGTGTATGTGAGAGATGAACACATTTGGGAAGGGGAGGTTTGGGCAAGATGAAAGGTAGGGTTCCACACAGACACCAAAGTTGAATCCACGTTTTAATCCGGGTCAACAAAGGGGTTTCATGTAAAAATTAAGGAAATGTAAGCTAAAGGTAGATTCAGAAAGCAAGTAAATAGCTTAGTTCTGAACTTTCTGGATTTGCCATGCTCGTGCCTGGCACAGAGCGCACCCTGAATATAACAGTGTTAAATAAATCAATGCAAACGATTTTGTCCAGCATAAAATTGCTATCGGGGAGCATAGTTGTAAGGCATTAGTGTCATATAAAATTCTTGTGGAAGAATGTACCCAGGAAGGAAAGCATTTGGTACATAAAAATATCTGCAGATCAATTATTACAAAAAGGGAAGTATTCCTGAGATTTTTAAGAAAGGGAAGGCTAAGTTGGAGACTCAAGTTCACTCAGAGGCACTTTGAAAGAAAGGTTTGGTGATCTACTTCCAAATAGTGAACCGTTGGAAACCCTGTGGAGCATTAGCGTCAACTCCATGGCAACTGGCTTTCATCATGGAGGAAGTCAGAGGGCTTGTTCTGTTGATCCAGGTGGCACTTTTTGGGGGGGGTGGGGTGGGGGAGTCCATCAATTAAAGTTCAATTTGAAGTTATCTGAATAGATTGAAGGTGGAAGACATCTAGCAACTGGTCTCAATGAATATTTCTTCTTCTCCAAGAAGAAAACAGGATTTGCTAGTTGAGCTTTATAAAGAGTGACCAGGGTTTTGAGTAAAATAGAATTAAGCCATTTACCAGAACCGAAGTAGGCTATGGCTTCAAGAAGGAGGCATTGTAGACATTGCCAAATTCTACAATGGAGATCAAAACCGAAACACTGATGCTTGCACTCAGCATTTGGAATATTCTCCTAATCCTTACTTTGGGTTGGGTGTTCAAGAGGATGCTAAAGGAAAATTATTTTAGGAGAGGGGAGGTCCCAAGTAAATGGAGTCACAGGTGGCAAAGTTCACTTGACAGGAACAATGTTATTTGCAGAAAGATTAAACTTGAATAAGATTAGATTGTTAGACAAAGTATTTTAATATTTGAAAGAATTTTAAAGACAAACTAAATTTAAACTCTCTTGAGGGTTAAAAACTATGCATTTTTACTTTTCACAAAAAATTGAGGTGGGAAAGAAGAGATGTTTACTTAGAAGAACTTAGGCATTTCTATATATCTTAAAGTTCCACTTTATATTAAAAAAATGTTTTCAAAGAGCAGGTCGAGGGAAATTGCTGAAAAGGTAGTATTCAAGGTTGACAAAAAGTCTGATAATCATATACCGGTAAGCTATCAAAATAAAACATTAGGAAATTACTTAACTTGTTCAGCAAATAGATGCTCTTAGTAAGTTGAGCTGTACATTTAAACTGTTGAGACAACTGTATTTTCAGCTCTGAACTTTCCATTTTCCTTGCTCTTTGCAATGATTAGCTTGTTTCATGTCAACACCAGGTGTTTCAAGAACATACTGCTAAGTGTGCTTTATTCCTGCCTATGGATATAGAGTATAATGATATCAAAATATTAACAACAAATGGAAGTCTTCTGTTGCAACACTGATTTCTTTATAGGTAGTAAAGTATCCAAAATCACTCAACACTGGATGAAATGTAAATTTTCATTTTTTTAATCATAGAAAGGAATGGGGGGAACCATCAGGTCCCCACAACAGGCATTAGGGTGCATGCTGGAGGGAAACAATGTTCAGCTGCTATATCATGGAGAATAGAACATGAAATATGACATATTCAATCATGCAATTACAAGGCCTTGAATATATACATCTACAGAAGGAACAAGTAGTTGAGAAAAAATAAACTAAGAAATGTTTTGTTCTGCTTTTAATTCTAAATCCTGATGAGTCATAGAATCAGACCAAGGTATACCTCCAGGTGCCAAAAGGTCTAAATCCCACCAGGTTCTGTCACAGTTAACCAGTAACTGGAAAAAAAATGTTTCTCTGGTTAGTCATACAAATCATATTATACCATAGTGAATTGCTAAGCATAAAGAATTTTTTTATACATGATATGTACCATTTCGTATGCATGAATGTTGTGCATGATATTTATTTCTTTTGTGGAATGTGTTTATTGATCAGGAGATACCAATTTTTTTCCAGAAGCATAATTATTTTATTTGCATGTGACAATGTTCAATTACAGGCACCGATATTAAAAAATATTAGCTTGTTTTTTAAAAAGAACCTGCTGATCCTTTTAATCAACAGGTTTTCCTTCTTGTTTATTTATCTGATAGTGGTATTCCAAACAGTATATCTGAAATAACATCTATTAAAGTGAATGTGGTGTTCTGGGTAAAGAGTATTTCAGTATGTCATTCAGTATAATAATCTCAAATGCTAATAATGATAAGGCATTCACAATTTCATGAAACGAGACATATAAGACACAAGCTTAAAAATAAAGCTCCTCATAAATCCACAAACATGCTCCCTGCCAAATATCAAGGTTAAGAAGTCTTATTATAATTAAAGAGAGCAAAAAGGGCATTATCAAGGCCCCATCTGTACACAGCTAATCATAGGAATGGAATCTGCTGAAATCAACGGAAAACCTTTAAGTACAAACCTAGATGTCTTCATCATGATGAAATGCACACATTTCAGGGCTTCCCAGAGATCCAAACCTTGGGATCTGCAGAATCCACCCTCGAAAGCTTCAAATTTCGATCTTAAGAGAATGGGCCTCTTTTAAGAGAATATATGGAGGGCCCATCAGAGACCGAGACATCCCTTTCAAAAGCACTGGGAAACCTGGTCTGGTATTTACCAAAAGGTCTCACCCGAGACTAGACCCTGGTTATCATTCTGCTTTGTTTGTCTCCGGTTCGTTTCCTGCATCTTAAACTGGAGAAGCATGGAAACTTCCTACTAAATATGGGGAAGCGTCAGCAAGCTCACCCCACATACAGACCACATCTTTGTCTCAGCAGCAGCAGCAGCAGCAGCGACAGTTGTGGCAGGATTAGGGCTCGATCTCCTCCAGAACGTGAACTAACCAGACCTGCAAGGCTCACCTTCCCCTGGCCGCCAGCCCCTTGGCTTTAGACATACAAGAAGAGGAGGAGGACTGCTTCTCCTCGGGATCTGCTCTGGAAGGAACCCTGTCCGTTCCTGCGGAAGGAAGGAGGGAGAAAGTTAGTTCGCAGGCAGCGACGTCTCACCTTCCATGCTTGTTGCCATGGAGATGAAATCCAGCGGCTAGACTTCAGGGTGGGCAGGTGTGTCTGCGATCGCTGATCGGCTCAGTCACCGTGTCAAAAGACGTGTCCTGGGGACCTGCGTGGCGTCGCAGCACCGTGGCTAGCGCGTCCCTGGCCTACGTGTGTAAATGTCTGTGACAGACAGGGGACGTGGGCGCCCGCGAAGTGCGTATGCGCGCGCCCGTGCATTTGCAGGGGGATGTGCTTGGGCTTCCTCGGCGTTGCAGTGTGCAAATATTTGTGTGCGTGAGTGTGTGTGTGCGCGCGCGCGAATGTGAGTGTCCGGCCCTGTGCGTGCAGCAGAGAGGACGTGGGAACTGCGAGGGGGCAGAGACGCAGCGTTGCAGCAACAGGCTCTCTATAGTTCTGCTAACAGGAGAAGGGGAATTAGATAAACGAGCAATTTCATTCCTTTCACACCCTGAAGCCTAGCTATCGGAGTTCATCACCATCTCGGCATCCTAAGGCAGTGAGGGTTTGATTGATTTGTAGCTAAAATCGAGTTTTCCGCTCCTCGCTGCATCCTTAGCCCGGGCGCGGGCTGGGGACAACAATCTCAATGGGAGAGTGCGAGCTAAAGGGCTTAGGTGCTTCTTGCCATCCGGCAAGGAAAAGGCGTGCTGGGGAAAGGGAGTGACAGGGAGACTGGATGCGGCATTTGGAATTCTTTCCCGTACTCCTCCCACCCCCTTTTTGGACCCAATCTTCTCCCGCCCCGCCCCCGCCCCCTTTTCCAAGGAGGAGGTGCCTGATCTCTATCCATGGTGCTGGAATGTTGCCTCGCGAGACCCAGCACCCCAACCTTCTACTGTACAGTGCAGTATACCCTAAAGGACACCTTACAACCGTCCCGCAGGATTTTCAAGGAGGGAATCTTTACGAAATCAGACTACTGCATCATTCTCCTGCAGGGCGACTGGTAGATTCGAGCACCCGACCTTCTGGTTGGCAGTCGAGTACTTCAACCACGGTACCACCAGGGCTTTGCATAGAGAACGGATAGCTCCCAAACACGTGCCAGGCAACACTAAAATCCCAGGATAAAATGCCGTTGTACCTGTGAGCTACATTTTATGAAACGTGGTAAGTACATAGAGTCCAAATCGAAATGGCTTTGACAACGAAACCACACAAATGACAAGGAGACCCTCTTCTCTCTTGCTGCTCAAGTCTGGTCATGTCTCCATATTCGGCTACCAGGATCTAATTCTACTTACGTTTTGATACTATATCCAGGTCCTACAGGTTGCCAACACCTGTAGATGTCCTTCAGCCTAAATCACCACCTTATTAAATATGGAACAGTTCCACAAGTGGGAAAAATGTAGGTGTATATCTGAATCCTTTTTGCAAGTTAAAAACATACTGAAAACACATAATGCAAACGGACCAAGTTTGTAACTGTTCGCTCATGAATTGAAGATACACTTTGTGGTATTACTTTAGAAATACACTTTATGTATTACTTTAGAAAAGCCTTATAAAAAGGTGAAAGTTAAAAACCACATACTCAAATGACAGTTATTGTTTTTGTATTTAGAGTATTAAAGATACTATAATATAGGTGAACTATCTAGTCATCAAAGAAAAGGGTGAAGGAAGTGTGTTTTTACAGTAACATTTTCAGTCATGATTTTGAGTCTTTTAAAATTTTTATTTTAAAAAATTATAGTAATGCATACAAATACATACACTATTTCATCATTTCTAGATCTATACTTGTGAGACATTGATTACATTCTTCAAATTATGTAACACTTTTTGTTCTTTTTAATTATCGGTTATATTTATCGATTTTAAACTTTTATTATAAATTGGATGATGGATTACAGACTAAATCAGTTTTCCATTTAACAATCTACTCAAATTTTGTTTAATATAATTGACTGCAATTTCCAGAATGTAGACTTTCTCATCCCACTTCTACTCTGTTTCCCATTTGTTTTCTTCTTTCTTCCCTAGCATTCTTACCTTCTGATCTTTGTCCTTGGACAAATGCTGCCGTTTTGATCTTGAATGGCTGATTGCTCTAAGGAGTGTGTAGCTCCTTAGTGTTATTGTTTCCTTATTGCCTATGTATTGCTTTGCTAGAATTTTAGCCACGGGATCAAGGCCATATTCTTGGGTCTTATTCAGTCTCTATCCGAATAGTAAACCTGGTCATTTTTAATGTCTTTGTCTTTTGTTTCTTATTTTTATCTTACTGTATCCAGAACCCTAATGTGATCTCTTTTGGAGTGGTTGGTAGTGGTAGGTAGGCACCATCTAGGTCTTCTGATCTCAGAGTTGCAAGATGGTGAGACACCAACAGTTGGCTACTGACAGGCTTTTAAGACTCCAGTCATTACTCACCCAAGCAGGATGTAGCATGTTTTCTTGGTGGACCGTGTTGTGCCAATTGACTTTGATGTCCCCTGGGACAATGATGCTGAGCCCTCGAGCCCAGTAACTCATTCCTACAAGGTGTTTGATTGTGGCTGTGTTAGTCTGGGTACTTTAGAGAAACAAATCCACAGAAACTCATGTTTTATATAAAGGGTATGTGCACATCAAGAAAATATCCCAACCCAGTGCTGCCCAAGCCCACAAGCCCAACATTAACCTATATGTCTGACACCAATCCACAAAGTCCTCCTCCATTTCACAAAACACACTCAATGATGCCGACTGCAGGAGGAAAGCTGAATCAGTGAACGTGTAAGCATCTCAATGCTGGCAAGGGCCTCCACATGGCTGCTCCAGCCCCCAGGGTAGGTCCATGTGGTTTCTCCTCAGGGATGTCTTGCAGGGCATCCCTTGCCTTGCCAGCTGAAGCAGGGAACTGGCTAAGGCAGCTGCACCCTGGTCTGACCATCACAAAGCAAGAAGACCCGAGAACTACAAAGGCGAGGCTCACCAAGCCATTTATCCCTCTGCCCTTCAATTAATCCCACATGTGTTTATTGGCCAGGTTGACACAATGAACTTTAACTCTATCAATGGCTAAGACATTTTCATAAATTTTCTCCCTGAATATGTTCCTATATTCTTAGGTATATTTGCAGAATATGTCAGTGCATATATAAAGTATCCTCTGTCATACACACACACACACACACACACACACACACACTCATGGGTATAGTCCCTTTTTCCTTCCCACAGCTGTTTGGTTTGCATGTCTATCTATGCATCCATTCATAGATTATTGTTATTACTATTACTGCAGGATCATGCATATACTAATATTTACCTCTGTTGTTTTTAACTCCTATACTCCTTTCAATGTCTTCCTTGGCTTGATTGTATTTTATTAACCTCCTCTTAATTGCATATTGCCTTTTTCTTCACAAAAGTTAAGATCTATCTACCCTCTGGTAAATGATTTATCCCCCCTCCTCCTTCAACCACTGATAACCATCAGAGACTATTGCTTTTTTCAAGTGAAACTCTTTTAGTTGCTTTTTATAATAGTAGTTTCATATTTGTCTTTTTGTGATTGACTAATTTTACTCAGCATAACATCCTCTGATCTTTCGCATCTATTGCTGAAAGTCAGATGGGATATACTCAAGGTTGTATTTTTACTTTCATGGGCTTGTTCTCATTCTGCTGAAAAGAATTCAGCAATAATAGTTGCAGCAAGGCATTGACAAAGAGCTGTTGGAAAGTCAAGCTGGAATGAGAAGAGGATGTGGCACAAGGGATATCATTGCTCATGTCAGATGGATCTTGCCTAAAGTGAGAAAATGAAAAAAAGATGTTGACTTGTGTTTTCTTGATTATGCAAAGGCATTTGACTGTATGGATCATAACAAACTATGGATAATGTTAGGAAGAATGGAAATTCCAAAACTTCATTGTGCTCATATGGAACCTATACATGGACCAAAGTGCAGTCACTGAAACAGAAAAATGGAATAGCGGGTGGTTTAAAATCAAGAAAAGAATGTGCTGGGGTTGTATCTTTTCACTACATTTATTCAATCTACATACTGAGCAATAATACAATATGCTGTACCATATGAAGAACATAGCATCATATTTGGAGGAAAGTTTACTAATAATCTCTGATAGGCATACAATACAACCTTGCTTGCTAAAAGCAAGGAGGGCTTGAAGCACTTGCTGATGGAGACCGTCAGACTGCAGCTTTCACACAATATAGATTATAATTCAATGTAAAGAAAACAAAACCCCTTTCAACGAGACCAGTAAACAACATCATGATATATGGAGAGAAGATTGACATTTTCAAGGAGTTCATTTTGCTTTGATCCATGGGAGGGGCCCCGGTGGCACAGTCAGTTACACATTGGGCTGATTACCGCAAGACCATCAGTTTGAAACGACCAACTGGTCCAAGGGAAAAAGATAAAACTTTCCACTCCCGTGAAGAGCTGCAGACTCAGAAACCACAGGGGCAGCTCCTGTCGTGCAGGGCCGCGATGAGTTGGAATCAACGCTATGGCGGGGAGGGAGGGGGTTGATCCACAACCCATGCAGCCGTTAAGAAGGCAGACGACCGACTACATTGGACAAACAAAGCGGTTCCACATCCACTTTCAAATGCTAAAGCTAGGATGAACCCGATCCAAGCCGTGACATAAATATACATTGCTCTATGAATATAAATAATCATAACAGCTTTATTAAACAAACGCATTACACTGCCCAGCTGTATTTCCTGACATACCCTCCATCTAGGTCTAGACATCTATTTTTTGGGAAAAAAAATTTTGCGTGTGAATTAGGTGGGAGTTTACATCGTTTTTACATTTAATAACTTAAACAACTTATCAAACTTCCCAATGGCTTACCTCCTTTCCTTCTCCCTCACTTCTTCCCTATCTGCCTCGTGTAGTATACTAGCTTCCCATTCACTCAAGTTACCACCGGTCTACTCTGTAGCCTATTGCTTCCCCTGCCCTCCTTTCCCCTCCCCATTCCTGGGAAATATTAAAATGTATTTCTTTTAGTATGACATTTTTAAATTGATTTTAAAATATTTTATAACAGTGTTCTTATACAAAATTTGTCTTTTAGTGTTAGACTAACTTTACTCCGTAGAAAGCTTCTCAGATCCACCCATTTCATGAGCGATTTCTCAGTGCCATCATTATTCTTTA